ACAGCCTAAAATAACTTTGCCTATTTTGTAGCTGCATCACTTTGTTGGTTCATATTCAGTTCATGATCTGAAATAATTCCAAGGTCCTTCTCGCATGTAGTAGTAATGAGCCAAGTATCCTTCATCGTGTGACTGTGCATTTGGTTTCGTTTTTCTGGGCGTAGAACTTGGCACGTATCCTTCTTAAATTTTCAGTGTAATGCTCAAGCTGATTAAGATCTTTTTCATAGGGCATTAGCTGTTCCACGTCATCTGCAAATTTGATAAGGATTCCCTGCACCCTGTTATCCAAGTCATTAACAAAAATGTTGAAGAGCACTAGGCCAGGACTGGGCCTTGCAGTACACCACGTTACCTTCTTCCAGTTTGAGAAAGCCATTTATAAGGACTCTCTGAGGATGATTTTGCAACCTACTGTGTATCTGTCTGATAGCTCTTCTATCCAACCAACAGCTAGTTAGCTAATCAGAATATCATGGGAAACTTTGTCAAAAGCTTTGCTGAAGTCAAGATACAGTAATTCTACAGGATTCCCACCATCTAGAAGAGAAGTTACCGAAGTTAAATAAAGAGATATTTGTCTGGCAGGATACAGTGGTGCCTCGCTTAGCGATTGCCTGGTTTAACGATGTATTCGCTTAGCGATGAGGTTTTTGGAGCGATTTTGGGGAAATTTTGCATAGCGATGTTTGGGACCTTGCCTCGCTTATCGATGACAGTTTAGGTCCCCCTATTTTGCTTAGCAATGTCAGTTTTCGCTGTCAAACCTACAGTTCAATGCATTCCAATGGGGGGGGAAATTCACCAAAAATTAACGAAGAGTCAGAACAAATCCAATTTAAGTTTGCAAAGGTTTTACAAGGTGCACCAACGATCCCAAGCATTTAAAACAGTTTTTGAACATTTTAAGACACTTTAAAAATAGCGAAAACGGACCTGTCAAAACCATTGGAATGCATTGAATAGGCTTCAATGCATTCCAATGGGGGAAACATTGTTTTGCTTAGCGATGTTTCCTATGGCGATTCTCGCTTAAGGACGGTAATCCGTTCCCATTGGAACGGATTAACCAGTTTTCAATGCATGCCTATGGGAAATGGTGTTTCGCTTAGCGATGTTTTCCCATAGCGATGTTTTTTTGGGAACCAATTAACATCGTTAAGCGAGGCACCACTGTATGTTTTTGGCAAATCCACATTGGCTTCTGATTGTGACCACTTTATAATCTGCTCTAGAATTTTCTCTGGGCTTGGTGTCAGGCTGATGGGTCTATAGTTCCTTATTTTTGCCTTTTTTTCAAGATAGGGGCAACATTAGCCCTTCTCCAGTCATCTGGCATTTCACCCATCCTCCGTGATTTTAAGAAAATAACAGACAATGGTTTTGAGAGGCCAAAACATGCCAAGAATTTGAAATGTCAGGCATTTTACTAGAAATTTCATAATGATACATTTACAGAGGGTCCCATCCAATACCATTTCCCACAATTTGTTGTTTTTCATCATTTATTTTCATTAATTAAGAATCATACAAGAAGGTTAGAGAACCTGAGGTTTAAAGTTGTTCTTTGAAATTATATGGTAATTCATATAATTACACTAAAAACTTTGGTCTCAAGACTTCTTGTTGTTGATGTTGTTGTTGCTGTGTGTTGTCAAGCCAATTCAGATTTACAGCAACCCTTTTCAGGGGTTTTCAGGTTGAGAATATTCAGCAGTGGTTTACCATTCCCTTCTTCTAGGGGCACCCTAGGACAGTGCGGCTTGCCCCAAGGCCACACAGGCTGGCTCTTCTACCAGGAAGCACAGCAGGGAATTGAACTCCCAACCTGTGGCTCCACAGCCAGAAACCGAACTCACCGAACTACGTATCTCGCCAGCAATGACTTAGTTGCACTGAAATCAAAAGAAAAAGCTAGTGGTGTCTAACAGAAATCTCGTTACTTTCATGAAGATATCACAGAGGTTGAAATATTAGTGATATAGCTAACATGTTAGCATAAATTCAGAAGTGAATTACTGTAGATGATGTTAATTACTTTCGATGAATATGATCGTTCTAGTTGGTTATGTTAACCAATGCATTGATTTTAAAATATAACAATGAGAATTAATAAACATAGCTCCAAAGAGAAAACCAGCCCCCATTGCCTCAATGAAGTACCAGATTCCAAGAACATGAGATGTTACTAGTAACTCAAGCCATTAACATATCATTAAAATAATTAAAAGCATAGTTTAGATCCAATTGCCAGCCCTCTTCCACCATTGAATTGAGCCATTGAATCAGTGGAAACCTCTTAAATCAACACATATTCAAGTTCCACTGATTCAGTAGTCTACCACCTGGGATTAGCAATGGATTTTTAGTTACTGAAACCTTGATACAATACTGCTTCCATGTAATATGTTCAGTCACTAGTATTGAACTTGCTTTTCCTATAAATTGCTTTACAAATAGAAGGGATTAACATCTTCCCACATGTGAATGCTAAGAAAGGAGAAATATCAATAAATATTTTGTTTATTCACAGATACTTCCTCAACATGCTGGGATACCTGGATTAGGTAGCATAAGCCTTGAGGCATATATTTTGTATTTATATATATATATATACCTACTGTATGTATATACTGTCTGGCAACAAAGTTTTTTTGGTTTGGTTAATCTACCCATAACTTTAGTGAGGAAAACGGTTGAAATCTGAAAAAAAGATGTCTCTGTCAAAGAACTCTGATGAACCCATGAATAATCTTAATGCATAAATTGCACAGCAATCTAAAAACATGACTAAAAGAGGAAAGGTGA